ATCGTTACGGGCATAAATAACATATTAAAATCTTGTAAACCAAAAAAGTTCTATCTGGCGGAAAAATTACAAATTACAAACGAAGTGAAAGTCTTCTTCGCTTTTTCAATTAATTTTTAGATTCTTTTTTCTAACTGGTAAATAATTAATCTCTGAAAAAATATCCGGACATAATTTGCAAAAATATATCAGTCATAAAAAAAAATAATAATTATAGCTTCTTTTCTGATTAAAAGATAAAACATAGACGACAATCTTTCCACTTTTTATTGGTGATTGCTGGATATTCACTATTGTAAACTACAGTGATATTTCATTATGCAAAATGTATGTATTTCTTGCAAAGCACGCGGACTGAGGCCTCAGTAGAGTAAAGCGCTCCTTCAGTTTATGAACAGTTGAAAAATCATTTTAGCTTTAGATCTGCGCAACTTTGGTTTGATTTTTTACTCTTACCAAACATATTAACTTAAAGCAATTTTTCAATACGATTAGTAAACTTTTACGCTTACCAAAGATATTATCCTAAACGATTTTTTAATAGTAAAATGGTTTTTCGTTTTGAAAAATCATTTTGATGAATATCTTTGATTAGATGGAATATTTGCATAATTGTTGACACAAATTAAAAGAACAACAGGGATATTCGGTAACTTTATTGGGCTATATTATATATAATAATTTTTTGTTTTTTTACTAACAAGCGAAGATGCAACACATGTTTCCCCAACATTTTTAAGGTCTATAGCTCAAACAATATAGCCATTATGGGAGTACAAACAAATAACAAATATTATAAAATATTAACTACAGGGTGTCCCACATCATATTAGACCGAGAACGTGTCTAAATTACGATTTTCGGGACAATAATTAGAAAAATTTCATTAGAATGAATCATTTTGAAAAATAACATAAGGCTTATATAAGAATTTTCTTGCGGAAAATGATAAGTTTTTCGAGTATTAAGGGTTTATTTTGGTGTTAAAGATTGGAGATAATCTAATATGATATGGGACGCTCTGTATTTACGAATGCGTCGAAAAATAATCGATGACTTTAGGTTGTAATATCTGAAAGATATGTTTGAAATTAAATTGATTATTTTACGAACGATACGAATCGTACATTGTAACTTTCTGAATTTCTATGGACGCTACGTTCTTCAGTATAAGTCGATTTTAACAATTTATAAAATATTATGAAATATAAACTTTATACTATTGCGTCGAAAAATAATCGATGACTATAGGTTGCAACTTTCTCAATTTGTATCGACTCTACGTTCTGTGGTACAAGTCGTTTTTAACAACTTTTTCCTTATGGACGCAACAGATACAAGTAAGATTAGTAGTGATCAAGAGCGATTATTCTTCGCCGTAAACCTATACCCCCTTTTCATTTTTTCACGAACACTCCCTTTAAGTCTAATCCTTTTGTGGGTAAACATTGCTAACCCTGTACCTAGTTTTCTAGCCTTACTTATATTTTAATCGGACATTTAATATTTTTAATATTTAATAATTTTTGATTACAGAATACATGTAGTCAATAACAAAAATGCAATAAAAATCTTTATCTCTATAAACGTTGTTTAAATAATTGCAAATATTAACCCAAATGCATATATTTGCATATTTCTTATCAAATTCAGAACTGCAGTCAGGAGAGAGGAAACAGTTGCAGTGTTGGGGCCGAAGGTGACATATGCATATATTTTTTAAAACTATGTCTTATAGTTCTTAACCACTCTTAAATCTGTCAAAATACAAAAGTGGAGACCAAGAGATATATTTCGAAGATCTTCATTTTTTATTCACTTTGACTGAAATTGGTAGAATCAGAGAATCTTTAGAGTAAAATACTTATCGATCTATGGAACTGTCTTTGGTCTTTCTGTTAGGTTGAACACAAGGTTTCCTCTAACAGAGTACATTGTTATCATTTTCAGATTAAACCTGTGTTAGAGAACAAATATCTACATTGATATTCAACAAACTAGGAATACTAAAAACTTATTTATTTTTTAGTTGAAATCAAACCAAAAAAAGAGTCAAACAATATTTTTATTCAAAGGTTGTTTATCGTCTTTTCAAAATTTGGAAATTTGACATAGCGTAAGAAAAATGAAAAGAATAAACAATTTTCAAAACATTTTTTTTTCTTACAATCTTCAGTATGCCAAATTTTGAGCCTGAACGGAAATGTATGCCTGAAAGTAAGAAAACGAAAAACCAAATACCTTTTAGTAAAACTACAGTTTTGAAAGAAGTATGGAAATGAACATGGAATTAAAGGTAACTTAAATATTTAATATTTAATATTTGTCTTTAAAAAAATATAGGTTTCCATCACTTCAAAGTACAAACTATCCAGAAGGAAAAGGTCAAATTTACATCAAATGGTACGGCTTTTGGACCATAGAAGCTTCTCTAGTTTTAACTTTATGCACAAATAAGAGAATATCTAATGTATTCGGTTATAACTAAGAAATTACAACATTTTTGCTCTTCGAAAAGAGAAGGCAATTTACTTCAGTTTGACTTGTTGTTTGACATTTTTACTTAGTTTTTTTTTCAATTGATTTCAAATGAAATTTGATATGTCCTATTTTTAACCTTTTGAACCTTTGTTTGATTTTTAGAAACCGCTTTATTAAGCATTGGGAACTGTAAGATTTCAAGTTAGGGAATTACAGGGTTTCTCACGGAATGTTTACAACAAGGTGTCCCACAAAACATGACAGTTGGTGAATAGTTTAAAATGTCTTCTTGCAAAATTTGTTAAGTTGATTAAAACCAAAGAGACTAATAAAAGATTTAATATGGCAGTAATATTGTATTAAAATTGATTTCAAAGTAAACTATATTTCAGTAAAAAAAAATTACAAGAAATATACTGCAAAATGACTGTAATGTCTCGTTAGCTCACTGAAGATAAGTGGCAGCTGGAATCTTGTCAACCCTCTTCTCAGAATAATGAAGCGTGGATGGATGAATGTGCTGCCAGATTACAACCCCTGGTAGATCAATATAAACCCATACAACACCAAACTTTCGCAATAGAAAAATTCCGAGATTTGATCGTAATAACTCGAGAAAAGTAATAATTTATCAATTGTTGATTATCAGTCAAAGGTGTAAAGAGCACATGCCACGTTATACAGTCGTTGTTTTTATCAAAACAATTAATAAGAAAACTTTCTCTTATATCTTTCAAATAGCACAGACACTTGAACTTTTAATCAAATAGAAGTTGTCAATTAAAAGCTACTCTTTGTTTACTTGTAAACAAAGATATAAATATAATCACAGACTGCTACAGATAGTCATATGAAATTTCGCTTACTGTCCTTATCATGATTTTTATACCGGGTTACAAACAAAAAATGAGATTTTATATAATGCGGCCGGAACTCAATTAAAGGGAGTGTTCGTAAAAATATAGATAATCCTATTAAATTTAAACTAATCATTCAGGTATTACAAGTTATAATTTTCTAATTAAATCCTGGGCACTCCGATGTGATATTAAAATCATAATCTTTCTAAGATTTTTTGAAAATACAATGTTGTTTTAGAGGACGATTTTGGCCGCTACGTGTCTCTGCTCTCGATATTTCAGGAACTTAACTTGGGAGAGACACCTAGCGGCCAAAAAATCGTCCACAATAGTACATTGATTATAAAAAAAATAAATTATGGTATTTAAACGGAGAAAGGTATTTAAACAACACACAGGAATGCCACGAATTAAAGTCGACATTTATTACTTATAAAAGTTTTTAATGGCATATCAAATAGTAAAGAACGGAAAAATGTTACTACATCTTGAAAGCTTGAGATTTAACAAAGACATTTTTATGCTCTGTTTATTGTTTGTTATTCTTTTCCAGGTGGACAATAGTACTGACCTATTTAAAGGTAATTCATAATATTTCATAAGCTTGTTTCAAACAGCAGCTGGGGGTTTCTGTGACTGTGTTTATTTTTTAGATGATTTATTAGAGACTGGGCTTTATACTGGGATAGAACAAATTGACTCAAAGTCTCTAGGTAAATGTTTTAAATTCTTACTAAAGAAAACTAGCTGTGAAATAGGAGGAGAACTTTATGATTTTAAATGAAGACGACTTTTGATTTTTATTGAGCATTTTTCAAATTACAAGTTTACAAGAAAACAAAGAGGAACTGTTAAGCTTCTCTTTGCTTACATGTTCATGTGCACTGTTTGAAAGCTTGGTAAAAATCTAAATTAAAATCGAAAGTCGTCTTTAATGTTTTGATATTTATGACGACGACTGTAGTTGTAGGTCAGAGTGCAGTATTGGATATATAGAGATATTTTTCAGTATTCATCTCAGACCTTTTTGACGGTGAATAATTGTTCAGCAAGAGCGCAAATTCAATCTTTAAAACCCTCCTGGATTATCCACTCTGGAAGGATGATTTTGAGGATTGGGGGTTTAAAAATTATTCATTATCGCACTCTCAGCTCAACTGTCATGTCTAGCCCGTCTCTCCCTTTAAAAAGTTTTAACCATTGATGATATAATCATTTTTTATTTTAGTGATAGTATTGATTCAGTTGGTTCAATATCTGGTATTTTCCAGATTATCTGAACACAGACAAATCCTTCGTTTCATCTGTATCCCCTGTATCCTCATCCTCATGTGTTTTCTCTCTATATTCTGTATCCTCTGTATCCCTTTTGTTTTCTTTATCTCTTGTATCTTTTACATTCTTGCAGTTTTCATTGAAATATTCAAGATTAAAAAAACAATATTTTTGGAAGCTTTTCAACGTCATTGGGATTTTGGAAACTAATCAGAATTCTTTTGGTTAATAATATTTTTTTGAATTACCCAAAAAACTTTTAAAGATTGGACATCGGCAAAAGATGTCTTCCATAATTAAAAATCAAAAATTTGATTTAATAGGAATTGAAATTTGTGTCTCCATTAAATAATTATTTTATTGATAAATTTAACACTTAGGAATGATAAATATATAATTATTTTAACTTATTGAAAGAAAGCGGACAGAGACTCTTGATCTAAATAATGCAACAAAAGCAAAAAAAAATAATTTGTAAAATTGTAATAAAGGATTTTATTTTCTGGCAATAGTATGAATAATATTATCAACAATTTCTACACAATAAACTTTACCTATATCTACCTGATGGACCACTTATCAGTTATCACTTATCTGTGAACTGCAACCTGATTCACCTCCTAGCTATCAACTACCTTGATTGACCCAGCTATGAACTGCTTTTATGATTCATGTCATAATAAATACCAACACCAAAATGTGCTATTGGTGGCTTGAGAGCATAGAAAACAGATTTTAAAGAATATCAAATAGATTCTAGTACACTCGATGGTAACTTAGAATTTGTACACTCTCATTACAGCGGTATTCTCACGTCACAAGTGTCAATTCAGTTTTTGTGTCCGACAAAATCATCAATAGTAGTAATAATTTTAGAATAAAGTGCTTTTCTTACAGTAAAAATAAGTGCATTTTTATGTGTTTTTTATTTCTGTTTTTACAATTTTTTGTTTAATTTTGGAAAACTTGTCAACAAATGTGAGAAAATTTCGTTTTCTTTGTTATATTAGACACTTGTGACGTCATGTATAATTGGTCCGTTTCTCTGTTGCCACCTATATTGTACTTGTTTTTGTCAAGAAGTGAAATGAATATTCTGATAAAAACTAATAAATGTAATTCAATTGAATTTTACAAATCGCCTTATCACGGCAATACTCAAAACTGATCCCAATAAGATAAAGGCCCGGGTTTTTTTTTTTTTTGGGGGGGGGGAGGGTTCTCTAGATGTCCAAATTCAGAAAAAAGGTAAAATTTACAAAGACGGGAAGGTTTATGGATGATCAACATTAAAAATTTTGTATCCAAAGTTTTTGATTTATGTTAAATTTTGAAAATGCGCGAAAAACTATTATTATACAATTATAAATAAACTAATTTCACAGTTCCAGGTACAAACAAATTTTTATTATTAATTAGGAAACAAAGACAGCAATTTATCGAACCCCATTTTATGTTAAAATAAACCCGTTCATAGCTTTGTTATGATTTGTTGTGAATTGCCGTAAATAGCATAAGGCGAGATTACAAAACTGGTCTTTCCGATTAACAGTAGTATTGCAGTCAAAATTTGTTCTGAAAATCACTAGAGATAAACAAAAGTTTTATTAAATAAAAACATCCCTAAAAGCTGAAAAATAAGCTTATTGTTTTTTTGCATAGCAAAAGTTTAAACAAATACACAGTAAGAATCAGAAAACTTTGGATTGGAAAGACGACGTTAAGACTCAGGTTATGACTTAGTCTAATGAACATGAGACACAGTAATTGTGCACTGTAGTGTAAAGAGACCCATTTAACTTAATAAATAATTCAATAAGTTACTAATAAAACTATTTGCTTTGTAACAACATCATACTCTTAAGTTTTGTTATAACGTCGTCTTTCGCTTCCAACATTTTCTGGTTCTCACCGCGTAGATGATTTTTCATGAAAAAAAGTTAAGTACCTTCCAAAGATCACCAACAATCTTCAATTCGTCTCTCAACCGTCATGTTTAGAATGATTGCTCAAACTCTACCGTTAATTCTTAATCAAAGCGTACACAACCACCCCTAGGTTTTTCTTAAACTGCATTTTGGAGAAATATTCAGGTTTTCAGTATAAGCAACCACGGATCACTAAACACAGGGTATATCCTACGAAACTTGATAGTTAGGGACATCCATTTAAAGATCGTCTTTTATCATTCATTCATAAATCATGATTATAGATATTATCAAAGATCAACGGAATCTTTAAGTCGTCTCTCTATCCATGTTCATAGGGACACCCTGTACATGAACAACGAACACGATGCATAAAATAACATTTTGCCAACAAAATATGGATTAGGAAACATTGAATCACAATTAGCATTGGATGAATTGGATTCAATAATCCTATTTACAATGTATATTAAAGGGAATATTTCTAGATTTTAAAATACACATGACATATTCAATTTTTTTTGGACGCATTACTTATAGAACGAATAAAGTTGCACAATTTGTAAAAAGCAAAAACACTTTGAGGACGCACTAAGAGAACGAACTACAAAAGACGCATATTGAGTACGTGCAAAATTATAACATACATAGTACATCGCAGAATTATTAAAATATGCAAGAAGTGTTCAGTGAACAAAAAATAAGCTATGCACTTTAATTGAAAAACGCAATTATTTTCCGTTCGTGTGTTACAGGAAGTGCAGTGTAAAGTGCAGAACATGCAATCCTAAGCGCGTATCTTGTTTACTTAATAATATTCAGTGTCGCTAAATCAAAGTACAAATCAAATCTTTTCGGTGGACAGTGGTCGGCCATAGGGCGTCTATGAATAAAAACACGTATTAATCATGCGATGATCAGAAACGTCAAAAGGATGGCCGGT